ATGACCATCTCCTCAGGAGAGGTCCGGCTGCCTTGGCAGGATTGACCCTCATTAGTCCTTTCCCAGAAATGTCTGGAAATGTATTCACCCAGAGTTGACACCTGCTATGGCCATTATGTTTTGCTATTTAGGAAGAAAATCATCCTGCAGCCCCCTCAGATATCATGGCCCTAGAAGTCATCAGAGTAACTTTATGAAGACGAAGGCTAATCTGGACGCTGGCTAATCTGGACCGTGGCTAGAGCATTAATACTAGAAGCAATGAGTCAGCAAATAAAATATACTTGAGCACCTCTACGTGTCAAGCAGAAAGTTAGGCACGTCTTACCTGCCCTCCAGGACCTGGTCCACTGGTGGGAAATATAGCCATTAGATAATCACTGATACTCAATTACAAGATGTAAAATGCTGTAAAGGGAAAGCACAGGACAATGTGCTTTCATTGTGGGCACGTATGAAATGCCAGCACTGGGCTCTGAATTTTTTCCCTCACATCATTTTTCTCTCATTGCACATTAATTAAAAAGTGACTAATCCAGAAATAAGCCCTTACAGTTATGGTCAACTGGTTTTCAACATGGGTGCCAAGACAACTCAGTGGGGGAGGAGAGGGAGGATGGTCTTTTAACAAATGGTTCAGGGACAACTGGATATTTGAAGGCAAAAGAATGAAGTTGGCCCCCTACCTCTCACCATAACCCAAAATAAATTCGGAATGGATCATAGACCCACATGTAGGAGATAAACCTATAAAACTTTAGAAAATATAGGTATAAATCTGGGTTGGATTTAGCCATGCTGTCTTAGAAAGGATACCAACAGCACAAAAGACAGAAGATAAAATGGCCCAGGGATGTTGGTCCAGAGATATTGAATTAGACTTCATCAAAATTAAATTGGACTTTATCAAAATTAAAAACTTTTGTGCATCAAAGATCATTATCAAGAAAGTGAGAAGACAACCCACATAATGGAAGTTTTCTGCAAATCATATGTCTGATACAAGCCTAGTATCTAGGATGTAAAAAGAATTATTATACCTCAACAATAGAAAGACAGAAAACTCAATTTGTATAATGGGAAAAGGATCTGAACAGGTGTATTTCCAAAGAAGATATATAAACAGCCACTAAGCACATGGAAAGATGTTCAAAAGCATTAGGTATCAGGGAAATGCAAATTGAAACCACAATGAGATACTGCTTCACATCCACTGCAATAACAAGTGCTGGTGAGGCTGTGGAGAAATTGAAACCATGCATTGCTGGTGGGAATGTAAAATGGTGCAGCTGTTTTGAAAAATAGTTGGGCAGTTCTTCAAAAAGTGAAACATAGAGTTACCCTATGGCCCAGAAACTCTGCCTCTAGGTAGTATATTCCCAAGAGAAATGAAAACATGTATGCACACAAAAGCTTGCATGTGAATTTTCATAGCAGCATTATTCATAATAGCCAAAAAGTGGAAACAACTCAAATGTCGATCAACTGATGAATGAATAAATAAAACATGGTGTAGCTATACAATGGAGTATCACTTGGCAATAAAAATGAAGTGCTGATGCATCATACAAGGATAAACCTGGAACACAT